GCGTCCGGCAGCCGTCCTTCCTTGTTTTGATGCGGCGAGAACGGTAGGCCACAGTGACGATCAAGTGTATTATCTGAACTCCTTGCGTTGAGAAATATCAGAACCACACATCGAGTTGAGAATATTTTGCAACTCGTGCGGTAGTGCGACCGAGAGATGCTGTATTTTTTCGGCGGAGCTCACAGCTACGGTAACACAGCACTCTGTCTTCGTGGGGCTTGTTTCGCAGTCATCAGATAGTCTGACAGTGCGGGAAAAATTTCAGACGCATGGGCGAGTGACAGTGGTGAAATTAGAGAGGTCTGGCAATTGCAGTGGTAGTGATGATTTGTTGAATTTTTGGATTGCTTAACAACACTCCAGCTGTAAAGAAAATCTGGAGAGCAAGATTTGAAGGCTCTACAATCATGGGCGTAGGAACACGGGGGCCAGGGGGCCCATACCCCCCTCTTCAAGGTGGGGGAGACAGCAGTGTTAACTGCCCCCCCCCCCCACTTTTCAGATTAAGGCTGCTTTTAGCTTTATTTTGCACTACATTGAACATGCATAGCGGTTTGCATAGCTTACCAGCTATCATCCTCAAGATGTGCCATCTTTTCCGTTTGCTTATAGGCCACAGCTTTGTATCAGGCCACAGGCCGACCCCGCGCGACTGATGGAGACTGCAACGCCGGGCGTCAAGGCCGTTGTTCCCATGACTTACGAGCGCGCATGTTCGAGACCATGTTGCATAGTTTTCGATCAGTAATCAATTCTGACTGAACCTTGAGCATTTTAAGACGAACATGGATTAGCCATGTTAATACATATTTGGGACCCCATTCTATCTACAATATACGTTCTGGGGAGCCTTCAATACCTCTGAAGAACACAGAAAAACACATTGAACGGTTAACTATGAGATAACTAATTGATCACCTGCGGCAGTCAGGCATGTTGTTGCGTCAATGAGGGCTCATATGCTGATCCGGGGCCAGCTGCGCGGGTCAGAAGGCCTTCCGTGTGAGGGAGGGGAACAATGTGAATATGATATACCCTTCTCATGGCCTTCGGATCGACCAGGAGGTCCCGCCCCATGTCACTAGAATGACAGCCAGAAGACACTTCGTGATGGAATTAGGTTACCCTTCAGCCCTTGACCGGAGTCGGTAATGTGCCCCCCGCGTTCTACCCTTGCCCGGAAGGAAAATGGGGCCTCATTATTGGTGAGTAGAGCTCTCATTGTTGCTGAATAGAGTGGGTCGAAATGAATGCTAAAAAAACGAAAAATGTCATCGCACGTTTATTTGAGAAAGCTCATTTTTCAGAATGGATCAGTGAGAAAATTACATCAAAAGGCTTGAACATGCTCGCTCGTAGCCTCGGGAGCAAGGACAGCGGTGGCTCGAGTGACAGCTTCCGCAAAACCGAACGGCGTCAGCCACTGCAAGTGCCACGAGATGGGAGACGCCATGTTAATCTGCCTTCTGGACAGATAAATAGTTGCAAAAACACGAAAAATAGAGATTCTACCTTTTCTCTTTCAGTTCTACCACCAGATTCCAGCACCACTACGCGGTGCTTTAATGGCGAATTCGTTGTTGCCATCAGTCTAAAGACCGCACACCTGAAATATGCGCCCAGGCTGCCTTCTAAATGCAAGAATTAATGTCCCAAAGCGTTCAAAGGTACTTCTTTCCCTTTCGTCCGTTCGTTGGCCATGACTCAATATGACCTGCTGGGCCGACGCTGCGCGGCCTACGGAGACTGCAACGCCTGGCATCGGGATTTTTGTTACCAAGACTTGCGAGAGCGCATGCCTAAAATTACATCGCCCAACTTGCATTACTAATCGATTTAAGTGTTTAAAGGTACTTGTTTCACAGGCGTCATCGTTTTCGTCCACTGGTGGGCCACGGCAAAATGTTATCCGCTAAACGGTTGTAAGTTAACGGCACCGGTTATTTTTCCACGCGGCCGTTCAACGGCTGATTTCTGCAGTTTATTGACCTTAAAATACAAACAGAATTAATCGCACGGTAGCTTCTGGTTTCTACTTTGGTTGCAAGATGAAAATAGCAATGAAATGAAGAAACCGTACCCCTTGTTAATAAGTGAGCTATGCCCGGGGATTTTTTTTTGGGGGGGGGGGAGTCGCCGCAAGAGGGAGTTTTGTCAGCCTTGTGCTCTGCTTAGCAATGCTCTGGCTGCAACCCTGCATACACACGGAAGCAGATCAAGTCGTCTACGTTGAATGATGGGCAATTAACACGCGCTCGGGTTGGGGATGGGGTCAAATTGATCCCCGAAGGTTTTTCCAGAATGGTTTCCGAACGGCGCGGCGTAGCCGCGCCAAATTTTGTATAGCTGTTGAAAATTGAATAGCGGATCGTTTCATGCAAATAATTTAGATGTACATTGCAATGTCACTGACCTATGGCAGGTCAAAGTCAGGCCATGGTTTCATCGAAATCAATTTCTAGGGAATCTTTCAATCTGATGCAACAGCGGAGTGTTACATCCTACGTTACAAACCTATGCATCTTTGGGATGCTCTATTAGGCAACACAAACATTGAATGAGCAAATTACTTTGATCTAAGGTCAGGTATGAATGTCAGGCCAAGGTCAAAACCAACCTGTTTTATTGCTCAAGGGCTTGCTGTATGGGGTAGTTTCCGGTGCTCATTTTGAATTCATTGATAGCAGGAATCGCATCATACATCTTTCATTGGCTTCTTTGAGGTCAGAATAGGTCATTGACCTAAGATGACCCAGGCCGACATTTTTTTAGGAACATACTGCCTAGCTTAATCTTTGTCGCTTATTCAAATGCAAAACTCAGAGCAGTCTTGTATGATTTTGGTCACCATTACCTTCAAAAGGTTAAGCAAGGTCACTGACCCCAAATAAGCTGGTGAACTTTTGCTTAAAAGCAGTTATCTAGGTTCTGAGGCACTTTGGAGACCAACCTGGAATTTGACCTTGTTTGACCTTACTTGAGCCGAAGGTCATGACCCAGTGACCTGAAAATTTGACCTAAGTGAGTTCACGTACAGGTCAACACAACCTACAAATTTGGTGTCTCCGGCTTTCTTAGTTCCCGAGATCTTAGCTGGGGGGTCAAATTGACCCCCCCACCCGAGCGAAAGGTATCTAGCCGGCCACCCGGGCGTGTGTTAAATGCCCCTTTGGCCAATTCATGCCTCAGGTAGGCAGCTTCCCGGAGACTTTTCATAGGGAAAATGATTCTGGAAAAGCTACTGATGCAGGTGTCCAACATGCTTTACACACCAATTAGTAGCAATGCTGACCCAGAAATATGTAACAAAGCAGCCATATGATCAGTTCGCAATCAGTCACGCGGGAGACAGCGGAGTCTGGGCAGTGGCCGCTGATGGTGGAAGGGAACAGAGCTCAGATAAGGAATATATGACAGAAGAGCCTTCATTCTGTGGATTGGTTGTTAAAGCAGAATCTCTAGTTTTATGACTTTTTGACAGTGTTTTTGACAGTTTTCCGCCTAAAATGCTGTTACAGGCCTTATCTCAAGAAAAGGGCTTGTTTTCCAGAAAAAAATCCTGAAGTACGCCCTGCGCATGGTCCCACCCGACTTTTTAAACCCTCCCACGCCTATGCCTGCAAGCACTGATTTTTGTGAACCGAGAGACCACGGACTCATTACAGAAGAATGCCTGAAATGACCTTTTCGGATCTTTTATTTGTACTCCTTTGTTGCGCCTCATCAGCTTTGATACATGAATAAGTGGCGCGAAGCCGGCAAGCGATATGACAAACGATTATCTCAGCCCCGAATTGATACCACCACGATGGGTTTATGGTTTCTCCTTTAAAAAATGGCATGGGGCTATTAAGACCTTTGGAAAAGCCACCTGCCAGCAAGCAGACGCGTATAAAGAGGGCGAGAGAGGAAAAGGCTGTCCCACGCCGACTTCCGTCAATATTGCATCAGATTCCAACCATGGTGCTGCACGAAACACTGGCTAACCGATGGAGTTTGTTTTACATGACCCACCTGCGTCCCTGGTAGTCAGCACATCACACCCTATTCCCGCTAAGTCAGAGAAAGTAAGCCAGGGAATCCCGCAATTGGTGTTGAATGCGTACCGAAATAGTGCAAACACAAATCGTCCACGGAACCTCTTTCGCAGAGCGGAGCAGGCCGCAGACACTTGCGATATTCCATTTTTAATTGAGATTGATAGGTAGTACGTACCAGCCAGACTAAAATACTTTGAGCCTCTTACTTCTTGCGATGCAGATCATAGCGCGTATGTTCGTGCTTTCGCGTTGCGGAAGTACGAACATAAAACCATTCGAAAGTAAACTAGGCTCCAAAATCGGCTGGCCCAGCGGTCACAGGCGCCGAACAGGTCAGCTGCTGACCCGAAAACATGCTGGCTAAAACCAGCCTTGGGTAATCTCTAAACGTAGACGATGAGTCCCTCGAAAGCAACGACCTGGCCCAGTCGCAATAACCCGAGACGGAGTCCAATGCCGCAATGCCATAGCCTGGTAGATCTAGATGTGGGCGGTACGCATGACCTTTGACGGCAATCACTCAACGTGTTTGTCATCGAAGGAGACCTCAGGGCGCGCGTTAAAAGCCCCAGATGTCATCACACCACGCAACGAGCTTTGCACAGCAAACAACGAATTCAGTCGACCGGTGGCGCGAGGGTGGCCTTTCGTTCCTCGCGCTCCGTCCTAAGTCATCTTGATAAGCGTGAGAATGAGTGCTACTCTTCGACAACGGCTCCTTAAGGCTTGGCTTCCTCTCCTTCCTTCGCATCGCGGGAGCTTAGCTCTCACGTTACTCGCGCGCGCGCTTCGTCAGAGGACCTGTTGCCGTCAGAGGCGACGGCGGCGGCGGGCGACCGGCCGGCCGGCCGGCTGGGCCGCGCCGCGCCGCGCCGGTCGATCGGTGACGTCACCCGTGACGTCACGGCGCCGCCGGCGCGCCGCGGATCCATAGCGCTGCCGGCAGAGCGGTGTGGTGAGCCCTGGGCCGACGCCATATTCCAGGCTCGCGGGCGAGGGAGCTGACCGAGTGAGGTCGGCAGCGCCAGCAGCCGGCGCTCAGCAGCATGGTGGCGTGGACGCGCCGAACAGCCGCACTCGCAGCGGCGCTGCTGCTGCTGACTGCCGCCGGCGTCCAGCCCGCCAAGGAGGTGTTCACCAACTCCTTCTACGTGCAGCTGAACGGGCCGCACGGCAGCGCCAAGGCGCACGAGATCGCCAAACGCTCCGGCTTCGAGAGCCTGGGCCCGGTGAGTGCGGCGGGCGGAGCGGGCCTGCGCGGAGGGCCGGCCGCGGCCGCCATATGCCGGTGGGGTGCCGGCCGCCCGCATGGCGCGCTCTCCCTGCGCCGATGGCCATACTGCTGGGCTCGGTGTCCCACCCGCTGCAGCTGCTCGCTGTGCTTCAGCTGCAACGTTTAGATTTGTAGGTTTTGTCCCGAATTCCATCCTTTCCGGCGGAGTTCAAGCGAGGCGTTAAAATTTCGGTGAACTTAGGTTTGCAGTTTGGCAATCATGCCTCACTGCACCATCTCCCTCGAACTATGAGATGCGGTTTGACGCCAGCGACCCTTCCCTTCTTCTCATCTGCTCCGCCTTTTGTGTCACATGTCAAGTTTTCCTTTGCGAAGCCCGTGATGTTCCCTCGACACTGCACTGTGCGTTCCCGCTTCTGCTACTGCAATCGGTACGATTCGCTCTGCATGGACCGCTCATGGTGGCTCGCCTTCTGCGGGCCCATTGTACCCTGGTCCTTCTGCGGGCCCGTTATACCCTGGTCCTTCTGCGGGCCCGTTATACCCTGGTCCTTCTGCGGGCCCGTTGTACCCTGGTCCTTCTGCGGGTCCGTTATACCCTGGTCCTTCTGCGGGCCCGTTGTACCCTGGTCCTTCTGTGGGCCCGTTGTACCCTGGTCCTTCTGCGGGCCCGTTGTACCCTGGTCCTTCTGCGGGCCCGTTGTACCCTAGTCCTTCTGCGGGCCCGTTATACCCTGGTCCTTCTGCGGGCCCGTTGTACCCTGGTCCTCCGTAAATTTGTCTTAATTCACTGCCGTATTTTTCCGTTCTGTAACTCGTGCTCTCACGCGCAATCTTTGCATTTTTACGGCCGACACTGGTACCGCTCACTTCTCTAGCTTAATAATTTTGGTCAGACCGATTTGGCTTTTAGCAATCGGCCAGGAAAGACTACATGACGAACTGTAAGCAGCCTGTTTCATACTTAAGCGTCAGTATGACGGTAACACATGTGTACATCCCAAGGACCCGAATTATATGGAAGGGATAGTTTGAGTTTCCATAAGGCAGGTTCTCAAACGTTACACATCGACTTATAAAGCGGGGTTAATCACTCAGCCCGTATCCATTCTTATAGGCTCCGCTCTTCCGCCGTCCGTTTTAGACGATAAAGTTACCAACCGCAATACCCTCGAATTCATCCGCATGTCGCCACGAATCCGGCCAAACTGACACAAGGCCCCTGTGCCCGTGCGTCTGTCTATAAAGAACGTGATGCACTTCAGCATCTGTGTCTGCTGCTTCTGTAACGAGCGGGCCACGAGTCACGTGCGCCGATCACAAACCAACCAAGAACTCAACCTGGCGCTTGGTGAACAAGAAGCACGCCACGCTTTTGGGCAGTCATCGAGCTGGTACGAGCTGGTATAAGCTGGTACGACCAGTCGCTGGTTGCATAAACAGAGCTGTAGCTTGGAAAGCTTCAGCTGGCAGCGTTCCATACAGGTTCATCGAAACTGACCGTCTTGGTAAGCTCGTTTCAGGCATCTGGACCGTAAATATCTGACTCGTAGTCGTTCTTTTATTTTCAAGTGATTGGTGAAAAAACCAATCGATGAAGCTAGGTAGGCACTTACACCTCTCATCGACTCGAATTGTGCCTGTTGATTCGTCGGAGCTGTGATTCCCCTTTATAGGACTGGTTATGTATGGAACGGGATGAGACACGCTGGTTCGTTCGAACAGACATCCCAAGGGAGGCCAAATAGTATCAGCGCAGCGATGCTGAAGTAGCTGCTGCCTCCTGGCTAGAGGCCTCCCAGGAAATGTTTCTTTTGCACAATCCACTCACCACCCATGAGCCCAATTAGTTATACCCACCCGATTCACACAAAGATACCGTTTTTTCGTTAGTAATTGCAAAAGTAGTGTGAATGTAGCTTTTTGTAAATAACTGAGGGTGTGATATAACCTTGCAGATTACATATCAAAACATCCATGGAATCTTTCGTAGAGGTTTTACCCATACCCATATCCGTATTGTTCCCCAAATCGGTACCCAACACATCCCGTTTGTCATTACACATGCTTGGTCATGAGCTCACCAGACTGTGGAGTTCACCAAACGAAGTGTGAGACCACGGAGAGCAGACGCCTGGGCGTCCCGGGAACGGCCAGCTTACCTGAGCTTACCAAGCCGTGAGGTTCTCCACTCAAGGCTTGAGATCATACAGAGCAGACACCCGGGAACGGCCAGCTTACCTGAGCTTACCAAGCCGTGAGGTTCTCCACTCGAGGTTTGAGCTCATACAGAACAGACACTCGGGAACGGCCAGCTTACCTGAGCTTACCAAGCCGTGAGGTTCTCCACTCGAGGTGTGAGCTCATACAGAACAGACACTCGGGAACGGCCAGCTTACCTGAGCTTACCAAGCCGTGAGGTTCTCCACTCGAGGTTTGAGCTCATACAGAACAGACACCGGGAACGGCCAGCTTAGCTGAGCTTACCGAGCCGTGAGGTTCTCCACTCGAGGTGTGAGATCATATAGAGCAGACACCGGGAACGGCCAGCTTACCTGAGCTTACCGAGCCGTGAGGTTCTCCACTCGAGGTGTGAGATCATACAGAGCAGACACTCGGGAACGGCCAGCTTACCTGAGCTTACCAAGCCGTGAGGTTCTCCACTCGAGGTGTGAGATCATACAGAGCAGACACTCGGGAACGGCCAGCTTACCTGAGCTTACCAAGCCGTGAGGTTCTCCACTCGAGGTGTGAGATCATACAGAACAGACATCCGGGAACGGCCAGCTTACCTGAGCTTACCAAGCCGTGAGGTTCTCCACTCGAGGCTTGAGCTCATACAGAACAGACACCCGGGAACGGCCAGCTTAGCTGAGCTTACCAAGCCGTGAGGTTCTCCACTCGAGGTGTGAGATCATACAGAGCAGACACTCGGGAACGGCCAGCTTACCTGAGCTTACCGAGCCGTGAGGTTCTCCACTCGAGGTGTGAGCTCATACAGAACGGCCGGGAACGGCCAGCTTAGCTGAGCTTACCGAACCGTGAAGTTCTCCACTCGAGGTTTGAGATCATGTAGAGCAGACACCGGGAACGGCCAGCTTACCTGAGCTTACCGAGCCGTGAGGTTCTCCACTCGAGGCTTGAGCTCATACAGAACAGACACCCGGGAACGGCCAGCTTAGCTGAGCTTACCAAGCCGTGAGGTTCTCCACTCGAGGTGTGAGATCATACAGAGCAGACACTCGGGAACGGCCAGCTTACCTGAGCTTACCGAGCCGTGAGGTTCTCCACTCGAGGTGTGAGCTCATACAGAACAGACACCCGGGAACGGCCAGCTTACCTGAGCTTACCGAACCGTGAAGTTCTCCACTCGAGGTTTGAGATCATGTAGAGCAGACACCGGGAACGGCCAGCTTACCTGAGCTTACCAAGCCGTGAGGTTCTCCACTCGAGGTGTGAGATCATACAGAACAGACACCCGGGAACGGCCAGCTTACCTGAGCTTACCAAGCCGTGAGGTTCTCCACTCGAGGTTTGAGATCATGTAGAGCAGACACCGGGAACGGCCAGCTTACCTGAGCTTACCAAGCCGTGAGGTTCTCCACTCGAGGTGTGAGATCATATAGAGCAGACACCGGGAACGGCCAGCTTACCTGAGCTAACCGAGCCGTGAGGTTCTCCACCCGAGGTGTGAGATCATGTAGAGCAGACACCGGGAACGGCCAGCTTACCTGAGCTAACCAAGCCGTGAGGTTCTCCACTCGATGTGTGAGATCATATAGAGCAGAGACTCGGGAACGGCCTGCTTACCTGAGCTAACCGAGCCGTGAGGTTCTCCACTCGATGTGTGAGATCATACAGAGCAGACACTCGGGAACGGCCAGCTTACCTGAGCTTACGGAGCCGTGAGGTTCTCCACTCGATGTGTGAGATCATATAGAGCAGACACCCAGGACACGGCCAGATTGCACACAGCTACTTCGGTTGAAGCAGCACGACGATGAAATTCAAGCAGTATTCATGCATGCACATTGATTGAAGTAGAAGCCGAGGTGACGTGGCAGGCTGTTATTGCCCCATTGAATATCCAATGAATATATTGAGCATCGCACGCTTCCATGCTTTCTATTTCTCGTGTCCATCAATCATTCAAAGTGGGCCACATTCATGCTTTTGTGAACAGGCATGCACGTGGCTTTAAGTGAGTTCGTCCAAAATTAAGTGGAACACGTCGAATATTCGTGGAAATGTCGCAAGTTTAGTGCGGAATTCTCAGCTATAGTAGACATGACATCTATGAAACATAACGCAATGCAATCATTTTCTGTTCAATGACATAAATAAAGGACATAAGCACCTGTAAACGAAGTCCACCGTTTGATGAGCTAAGAATCCGGGGAATTTGTCCACATCTACACCTTGCCTGACAAAGAGTGCGCCAATTACGCAGTCGTAAACACTCGTATGATGCCAACTGTAACAGCCACTGCGATTGAATGATGCGGAAATAGAGCCTTCATCTCGGCTTATTCGGCAGAGCAGGACAGCAGATAGAGTGTCGAAAATGGGAAAATTTTAAAGAGGCCAGATGTTAGTTGCGACGGAACTTTCAACACGCTTAGGTCATCAGTGCCCTAGAAAACTAGAAGAAAAGCCTCTGACAGTGGTGAGGTTCTGCGACTGATAACCTGTCGACACCGGCTTACTCTCTTCACAAAAGCCTCTGACAGTGGTGAGGTTCTGCGACAGGTAACCTGTCGACACCGGCTTACTCCCTGCACGAGGGAAGTTTCCAAACACACCTCCGAATGTCACCACATAATGACAGTGGGAGACAGCCGAATGTTCGCATGTTGAAAGGCCCGCATTTATACACAATATGTTAGTTTCTCACGTCCGATGAACGCACACAAAATGTCCAAGTTCATGTTCTCACACGCTAGTGCTCAGAAGCATATACCTTGTTTTCTCACGTCCTTTTGAACATGTACAAAG